AAGGTGGAAGAGGCAGTGGAGGTCCTAGATGAGATGCTTTCTAGGGATTGTTCGCCTAATACTGTTACTTATAACACTTTTATTAGCACGTTATGTAGGGAGAACCAGATTGAAACAGCCACTGAACTTGCTCGTGTTATTACAAGCAAAGGAATTTTACCTGATGTTTGTACATTCAATTCTCTGGTACAAGGTCTCTGTTTGACCAGAAATCATAGTATTGCAGTGGAACTATTTGAGGAGATGAAGAATAAAGGGTGCATACCTGATGAATTTACATATAATATGTTGATTGACAGTCTCTGTTCCAAGGGCAGGCTGGAAGAGGCTTTGTATTTGCTTAAAGAAATGGAAGGAAGTGACTGCGCTCGCAGTGTTATCACCTACAATACTTTGATTGATGGATTCTGCAAAGCTGGGAAGATTGAAGAAGCAGAAGAGATCTTTGATGAGATGGAGATCCAAGGGGTTTCACGAAATTCTGTGACCTATAATACACTTATCGATGGACTTTGTAAGAAGAAGAGAGTGGAGGAGGCTGCACAGCTTATGGACCAGATGATAATGGAGGGATTAAAGCCTGACAAGTTTACCTACAGTTCTATGCTAACATTCTTCTGCAGGGCTGGGAATATTAAAAAGGCAGCAGATATTGTACAGACCATGACTTCAAATGGATGTGAACCAGACATTGTTACCTACGGGACCCTAATTTTGGGCCTCTGCAAGGCTGGTAGAGTTGATGTTGCGAGCAAGCTTCTTAGATCAATTCAGATGAAAGGTATGATTTTGACTCCACAGGCATATAACCCTGTAATTCAAGCACTATTTAGGAAAAGGAGAAGTACTGAAGCCATGAGGCTTTTTAGAGAAATGATGGAGAAGGGTGAACTTGCAGATGCAATCACATATAAAATTGTATTTCGTGGTCTCTGTAATGGAGGAGGACCAATTGGAGAAGCTGTTGCTTTTTTGATTGAGATGATTGAGAAAGGTTTCATACCTGAATTCTCATCATTCTATATGCTGGCTGAAGGACTTTGTACATTATCAATGGAGGATACTCTAATCAACCTTGTAGATACAATAATGGAGAAAGCAAACTTCTCAAAAAGTCAAGTTTCCATGATAAGGGGTTTCCTTAAAATCCGTAAATTTCAAGATGCATTGGCTACCCTTGATGGTATCTTGGCTAGCCAGAAACCAAAGAAAGGTTACTGGTCAAGATGAGGTTTGATGTTGCTCTATGCAAAACAGTTTGTGAAGATGGAAGCTGCAGCTTGATGTTTGGTTGTATGAAGTTGCAGACTTGATTGGTCTTGATGGGTAACCATATAGTGTGGACTAAACAAGTCTCCTAGAAAATTTTGGATGATGTGCTTGGAGGCTGGAGCAACATTCTTGCTTGCAACTATTACTTCTCCTTATATCAGCAATTAGGTTTTTGCAACACTTTGCTTGATAACAATTTGACAATAGTTTCTTCCTGCCCTTCTTGTTAGGAAGAGTGAAGGAACATAACAGAATTTTTTTGGGCAAATTACTATTTTAGTCTCCAAATTTTGACTTATTTTTCGTTTTAATCATTAACAAAATAGTCCTCAGATTTTTTACAATTTTTAAAGTACTAACTCCATTAAATTTTTGACAAGAAAAAAAAACGAAAAAGTATTAGACCTTGTCTGGCTTCTCTCTCTTCCCTCCGTCTCCCTTCTTTCCTCTTTCTCTCTCTTTGATCAAAGAAACTTCAGGCATTTAAACGCCAAAAAATGTAGACCCGTCAAAAAAGAACATACCCAAACAACATCATCTAATTAGTTCAAAGAACAAATAAAATAATAATGACTTGCAGAAGATTTTGTGAAGTGTTTAGATATATCACGTGTAATGCTATTGAATATGATGGAATAGATCATGAACTCAAATACTTGTGGCCTTGATGCCTCAAAAAGGGTAGTCTGTACTTGTATAGAAAGGAAGAAGAAAGCTAAATGGAATGAAAACATGATCAGAGAAAGAAATGTTGGAGAAACAATCTTTTAAATCTTTGCTTCAGCAGCAATGGAAAATACTGAGATGATGTTAATAGGATCTTTGTGGGTGAGAGACAAAGAAGAAGAGAACAAATGCGAGAGACGAATAAAAGTTGCCACAAAGAATGTGAGATAGATATATTTACATTTAAGAGAAATATGATAGATTTCTTTTATTATAAATAATAATATATTATTTTCTAATTATTTTATATAAAAATTGAATCTTTGAATTGGTTTTTATCAATATAAATCATAACTTCGAGAATCAGACACGAAACCATACATACTGTTCCAATGTATTGATTTGGCTTATCAACTAACAACATGCATATTAATATAAAGAAAGTGTCTTAGAAAACCAAAAATAGGTGATCAGCCAAGTTCAGTAAATAAATGTTTTTATGTAGCGAAAACCAAATGGAGGAACCTCATGAATTCAAGTGTCTAAACTTGTCACTTTCAAGGCAACAGATTGTAGAAAGAGCACCTGCGCTAGTTCCGGGTAGCATGTGAGACAGATAAACATAATAAAAGTGCGACATTCAGATCCTCATACTTCTAAGAGACATATGACTGATTGGTTTAGAATGTTCGGAAAATGAAAATGATCTCTTACAGACCTGGTCCATTCCTGGTTCATTTCAAATGATAACGAATATGAACATATTTCACAATAGCACATGCATAAGGAAATCATGTTTTTTCATATTGCAGTAACCTGAATCACCCACAGAAGTATGGAATTAACTTGCCAGAAACAGGAGAGCTTGTAAGAATATTAGTTATCGTCTTCATATACAAAATAAGCCAAACACCTGACAGAGCAGTGACTATGCACCTTCAACAATCCCAGAATAAGGAGGCACAGATCAAATATTCAAAACAGAAATATGAACTGAAGGTGTTGATTAACCCCCTACAAACAGTACAGTTACATATCAGCCTGTAGAGATAAGACTAAAACAAGACACTCAATATATAGGTTCTATAAGTAGCAAATGATCAAAAGGTTATAGCAGAAAGCAGATTTGCATGTTCAAAACAAATAACGTCCACGATAATAAAACTTGGAAATTAGATGATTAGCCAAGTTCACCATCCCACAACCTATAAACAATTGAACCAGCATTAGAAGACCAAATGCAAGGATCCTAATCACAAGGCCTAACATCATATTCAGTTGGCCCGGCTCCTAATGACATCAAGGCCCATCTCAGTTGGATCAGTTGCTTGCAACTCCACTTGAATTCCATCAAGCTCTCTCTTGAACCTATCTTTGGAACTTGCATAGATCATTTTGCTCCTAACCCTTGAGGTATCAGGCGACCTTCATAGTGCAAGATACAATAAATTTTGGCAACAGCAAATAAGAGATAGGCAATAAAAACTAAAAACAGTGAATTAACGATACCATGCAATGAAGATAATCCTGCTTTTTTGGACATTTTCTTCAGTCACAAAATCGAAATCATAGACAGCATATCGGCATTCATCAGCAGGAAGGCTAGCAGCGAAATCCTCATAGCTGTTTGTTGGCTCCCCAACTTTCTCTACAATGACTTGCTTTTGCTTCTCCTCAATCTTGTAAACAATAAAACGGTAAGTTCGTTTTGCCTTGAGCTCCAGAAACTTCAGCTTGCACTCATCATGCACAGCCATACCAGATGCTGCATTGGCCTGTGAGCGCAAAGAATAAACCGAAATTTTTACGCAGTTCCAGATTTGCTTAGCATCCATATATTGAATATGAAACATCTATGTAACTCCACAACCATGTTTGCAAGCAGTACCCAATAGCAATAGTGAAGGAAAATTTTCAACCTACCTTGAGCGAAAGTGATTAAATACTACATCCCATGACACTGTTTTGGGCAGTATGACAAAACTGGTTAAAACTTACCGCAAAAAAATTTAAATATGCTTTGCCATTCAATTAAGATGTAAGCAAACCCCAATATAACTGAGCTATATGGTTGCTCCAGGCTCGAGCTTCCTTTTAGTGATGATCTATAATCCCTAAGCACAGAATTTATAGATACAAAAAAATGCACACAATGCATTTGCTCAGACAAGCAGGCAGCAAACAGAAGGTCACTCACTAATAACAAACGTCAAAAACGAACATATAATGATGCAGACAGACAGGATAATAAATTTTAGCTAAAAATGGATAACGAGAACAAAACAAGATTAACCATTACAATCATCAAATGACCTTAAATGTCGGAGGGGAGGGGGCCGATAAAATAAGTGTCTTGAACTTAACTGCATATTGTACCCTCTGCTTAGATCCACACTAGTTCCAATCATCAAAGACAAAAGACAATAATATCCAATCAAGACTTCGAATGACGCCTATCAACTAAATCAAACCACGATTATCAAACTCAACGTCATAACAAAATAAAATCAGATCTGCGAGCTAAAATAACACGCGTAAACAACTTATCCGCCAAAAATCCATTCCAGCTGCAACAGATAAACTTCTGGTCAGCGGATCGAAGACCGATCAAACGCCGGTATCCACCAAGTAGCTAAACCAGAAAAAGCAAAAGCTACAAAGATCCGCTAAACTACTGAGAAAATTCAAGGAAAAACGAGACCAAAAATTTTCCTGCGAACTTCTTGGTAACCAAATGAAGCATGGAGTATAATTTAAACATACTAATCTACTAAAAAAAGGCAAAAGAAAATACTCACCATTTCTTCTTAAGCTTAGTGGTTGTCTTCACCGAACAGTAATGATCGGGATCGATAAAGGAGGAGGAGAGAATATAGAGAAGTAAAGAATCTCCTCCGATTACCAGGACGCTTGCAGAAATGTTCAACCCCTTTTTATTCGGTTCCCCTGCTTGAGAGAGAGAGAGAGAGAGGGAGAGAAACAATATCCTGATAAAATCGTATTATACCATAGCGTATGAGACGCAGCTGAGCTTATAGTTTCGTGCCACGTCATACACGGCTTGGGAAACTCTTTAAAGAGGCGGCGCCGCCCAGACAGCGGCTTACTGAGTCGGCTCAGAGAACGACATCGTTTTGTGATATGTATCGTAATCTGTTTTGCTAAACAGTTGCACGTCGTTTTCACTTAAATGCGGTGCAGTCGCATCAAAAGTGTTTTATATTATGACGGGTCGGTGATTTTACAGTTACCTGTTATGGAAATAATTTTTATTAAAAATATTTTAAAAAGGTATATAATGTATATCTCTGAGACTCAGAAATTTATAGAAAGTTTTTACACCAACTGGCCAAATTGAGATGTACAAACAAAACAAAGCATACTAAGAGATTGAATGCTGCCGAAAAGTAATAAAGAAACACCAAACTCATACTACTTAATGAATATGAATAGTCTGGCAAGAGAAGAATTTATATTATATGGATACAACAGAAGTACTAATTTTTTTGGTCTTGGCTGCCTGCAAATCCATCATGGCTCTCATGTTGCCATCCATAGCTTTGACCATCTCGACCCATATCCCCTGAATAGAACTGACCACGACTCGGATGAGACAAGTGAGGTGGTGGTGGAGGGGGTGGTGGGATCTGCAAAGATTGTGATGCCAATATGCCCTTCCCATCCCTATTATCCTGTTGAACATCTATTCCCTTGATGCCTGATGGTGGAGGAATCATGGGTAAGCCTGAATTTCGCCCAAAATCACCTTGAAAAAATGGAGCTTTTCCCTGAGAATCCGAAAGGTTTGCAAAACCTTCTTGGACCCCTTGATTCCCCATTGGAGCTTCAAAAGGTACACCAACCGTTCCAGCAGTCCAAGACTGTTGGTATTGTGCCGAGAAATGAACACCAACCACTGGACCTGGTGGGAAACCTAATAATGAACCTTGTTGTGAACCCACTTCTGGAGTTGAATCCGTCCTACCCATCTCATAAGATGCAGTATAAAATTGTTGGACTCCATCCGTTTGGAAAGAAGGAAGACCAAATGAAGGTGGCATTACTGGGTTTTGATTCGTTGGCATAACATAATTAGGTGGTTGAGAGTGCATAGGTGGGTATTCTGGAAGCTGCGTCTCAGATAAAATTCCTTGCTGCTTGTCTGTTAACTGACTTGATTCTTGCTGTGGTGTATCAAAACTTTGTTGGAAGCGGTTATGGGGACCAAGCCTATCATAGCCTGGGGTACGGTTATTGTCAAGCTGAGTATCCAATGGATAGTTCTGAGCTTGCCCAAAAATAGGTGGTCCTTTTTGCTGCATGATTGGCCTGGGCGGTAGTTGCTCCCTAGGCTGTTGCCGCTGTGAACTTGAAGCTGGAGAGAAAACTGGCCTTGTGGGAGCTCGAAGAGTAGAATCTGAAGCAGAAGAGTGATTAGCACTCTGAATCTCTGATTCTTTACCATCTTCTTTTTCTGCATAGGGCTGTAAAAGGTCAGCATGGCTCTCATGTATATGATATTCAAACTCATTCCTCTTCAGGAAAGATTTGAGGCAGTGGGGAGCTGCACAGATGAAGATCCCCTCCATCATCTTGATTGTCTGAATCTTTTGAATACGTTCATCACAACTGTGTACCATGAAAAACAAGAAACAAAAGAATGTGAAACAATTCCTTGCAGTCAGCTTATGTCCTTATAGAAGTGTTGCACCAAAAAAAGAACACTGAAGCTGCATTTGGTCCGTACACTAAAAAATTTGTACGGCATAAATGAGAAAAGGAATGAGAATGGTATCCTAATTATATTTTCGGTGCAAAGTAAGTGGAAATAGTAATAAAAATCATCTCCAAAAAATTCAAGATAAGAATAGAGTCTGGTCAAGTACATAAATTAATCCTATTCTACACGCAGATTTTTTTTTTTTGTGAAATATAAAGTGTCTACGAATATGGATATTCTAGTAGTTAAGTAAAACAATATAGTAGTAGTTAAATCAAACAGGTGAAAATCCTTCGTTTCCCCGTTTCCCGCTTCCATGATCAAGTTGGACTTCAAAAACTATCTAGTGTGGCCACAAATTTTAACCTGCGAGTTGTAACCAAATTCCATATAACCTACATTGGATATATAAAAGAAAATATGCTATTGCCAGCAATAACTTCAGCAGACTAATCCTTGTCTTAAATTCCTATCATATTTTCAATCATGTAAGAGAAAATGCAAGGCTAATTGTTAAAAATACATTGTTATCTAAAATGCTCTCGGTTTTATGTGCAAGGTTGCACACTCTTAATGACTTGTGAATGTTAATGTCATAGACAGATTCACTCTCTGCAGCTCCTGGGCCCAAAAATCAGAAAGTCATAAATCAGCCAGACTTCTGTTCTTACAGAACTATTCAATCAAAATCACAGAGAACCAAAAGGTTTAATTTCTTAACTTGTAACGATCTGCTCCTAGATCCTAGTAAATTCTAGGAATTACTTGAGCATGAAGTCCGATTAATAGAGCTTGAACATGACCAAAAGCATAAAAATCACATATACCATTTGAAGTAATCATGTAAGAGTCCAAAAGCACATTGCCATTTACACAAGCTACTGATGGAATTCCATGGCACTTTAAAGAGCTGTTTGCAGTATAGATATCAAGCAGCGCAGCCAAATAGCATCAAATAATGAACTCATTGTTTTAATAGATGAAGATCAGATATCGCCTTACAGATAGCAAATCGATTCACTCCTTGCACACTCAAGACAGAAGGCATGCTCACAAGGGCTCTGCAAGAAATCAATACTATTAGTATGGGGATTTTCCAACATTTCTAGCAGCATGCATGGAAAAATGACAATCAAGAGCAGATGATACACCTTAGTTAGCACACATAAAATCAGCAGAAAAAATTGTTTGTAACTGTACTTTGAAACCTTTCATAGAGTGTTTACAGGAGGAAAGACATCAACCACAAAGAGGACTAGGCACAAGATTAAAACCATACAGCTTCCAACGGTCAAAGTAGAAAAAGAAATTAAAATAAAAGATCTTCTTAAAAAGCTGCAAGGAAATAAAAATTAAAAGATGATAAAAATATCAAAGCTGAACAAGAACACACCCAAAATATCAAGTGTTAAATAAACTAGAAGACACTAATGACATTGAAGGTGACACCCAAGCATCACGACTAAATTACTATTTTTCCTACATGCAAGGTCACTGGCAACTGTCCAGTTGAGATGAGACCACCGGAAGCATCAATAATAGTTCCTCACTTTGAAATCTATTACTCATCAATATGTATGGAACAATTTTTCCCATTACAAAGCGAATTTAATGACAGGAGATACCAACTAAAAAGAGAAGCGGAAACTATTAAAAGGGTGCAACATTATTTTTAAATAATCACCAGTATCTATGTTATTCTAATCCAAATATATTTGACCTAGTAGGAAATCTACACTTTTTATGGAAAATCTCAACCACAAATCACTAAATTCAACGGGAGAAGAAAATAAAATAAAATCATACTCAATTCTTTATCAACTCCTGTTGTTTGTACTAGCAAATTTCTAAGTAAAGAATAACTCAGATAGCATAATCAACAATGAGAAAAAGCAAAATACAAAAGCTTCAAAAATAAAATGAAGAATGAAGCATGCAGTACTTAGGACATACCAAACGGCCATAGACAGCAATTGGGTAATCACAGCGAACACAGAAATGGACTCGCTCACCAAGGTGGCGACGGGACCTGCGACCAACAGTCTTGACAACAGAAGCAACAGTGATCGAACCAATGCCTTTGGCTACAGGAAGATCAGCCAGGACAAGGTGGTCAGGACATGCCACAGTCACGGTCTCCGCCAGCAGGGGCCGGACAACCCCTCCACCACCTTCCGTCGAAGGACCCTTGCTAAGCCTAATTTGAAGCATCCTTTCCTTTAATATCTTCCGTCTCCTTGATAAAACTCGTCCAGTCACCTAACAAACAAATAATCATGTATATAATCTAAACAACATCACCAATATCTTGTCATACCAAGATACAATTTTGTGAGAAATAATCGATGTTACAATATATGAATATATTAGTAGAATTTGAAAAAAGAAATGGAAAAAGCTAGAGAAAAAATTGGCTGATTAGGAATTTCAATTCTTAGACAGAATATATGGTATGAAGTTTGTATAAAAGGACTAAGCTTAAAAGGGGCCAGGATAGTATGTATACATGCTACTTCCAATACAAAAGTGAGCTTTTTTGTTTCTAATAAAAAAGTATAGTATCTATCATCAATTAACAAGCACCAAGGGGGTGCCAACCCATGTAAAAAATTATTTACATATCAATCAAGATATCAATAATATCTTCAAGATCCTCCATAAAATATAGAAGATGACTCCTAACCAAAAAAATCAAAGGTCTAAATAATCTATCTCTAACCTTCTCAAACTCATATACCACCCATTGAAAAGCTCTCTTGTTTCTTTCTTTCCAAACCACCCAAAATATAGCAAGGGGATAAGACGCACATGTTCCATCCCAACACTAATACCCTTCCAGACTCAAATCTCATCCCTAACCGTATCAGTCATCAGCCGACTAATCCTCAATAGTCTATATGCCATTGTCCTAAATTTGCACACCAATCGGCATGAAAGCAGGATGTGGTTACAAGACTCTGCTTCCTGTTACATAGGCAACAACCATTCAGCATAACTTTTCTTCTCGTTAACTTGTCAATTGTGTCAATACACTCACACCCTACCTCCCACGCAAAGAAAATAATCAATGAAGCATTCACCTTCCAAATTTGCCGAAAAGGAAAAATGATCTCAATAGTATTATTCTTAACCAAGTAGTTATAGAAAGACCTAACCGAAAAGGTCCCTATGGAACTAAGGGTTCAGACAAGTTCATCATTACTCCTGTCCATTGAGACAAAAGAGAGTGTTCTTAATAGTCTCTCATACTCATTACTTTCTCAATTATTGACGTTTCTTCATTTCCCAATTCAAAACTGAGTTAATTTGAAACACATAGTAATAACCATCTAGTAATTTTAAAAATATTTTCCTCATCAAAATAACATCTTATTCTATTACATAAAGAATTTTTCATTTAGTAATTTATTATTACATGTTAAAGTTATGACAAACTTCTTATAATATTAAATGATTATTATGTTGCTCTACTGCTAATATAGATATTAGAGATTACTTGTAATAAAAAAGAGGCTCATACACATAATTGCTATCCACCTATTAGTCCTTTCATATTTTGGTTCCTAACTTCTGAAACCAAATAATTTAGAACTCTACATTTTGTGTTTTCTATTTTGGTCTTCTGTTAGTTTTTAATACTATAATTGTTAATGTCATACATAAACCAAGATATAAAATTGACAACATGACATGCTAAATAATTTTTTCATAACATAACATGCTAAATAATTAAACACAATTCACCCAGACTATACCCATCCAACCTAATTTTAACCCACGACGTTACCCAAACATAATCTCTGAAAATTTTGACCAAAAAAATGCCTTTACTTTTCATTCTTAATCCCACCAAGCATCATCTATTTCGAATATCCTCATTAATGGTTTTCACATGTGTTAATCACGCAACAATCTTTATTTTCTTGGGAGAGCCAGACAGCAACCATTTATCATATAAAAAATGCTAAAACAGCGTCTAAGAAACTAAAAGAGACAACATGCATCTTTCGCAGCAAACTATAAGCTATATTTCTAGCCCATTTGGATCCCCAAACATCACTAATTGGAGCCTAGATAATAGTGAAATCAAGGCAAAGGACAGTGACAATTGCCAAACGAATTAACATGCCAACTGATTATAGTTGATATTTCATTAGTTTATGAAACAACAAGAAAGCATGTCATGGTAACTGATCATAAGAGACTATACCTGAGGGGCTAACAGCTTTGCAATTATCAACCAACCCTAATTTCTTGTGGCATATACCCAAAGTCATAAAACAATATCAAAGACCGAGGAAACCAAGGAAGCTTTTCCTTAGGACTTTTTAAAATAAAGGGTACCTAAAAATGCAATCAAGAAAGATTTTCTGGGCCGTTTTACCAAAGAACCCTTTAAACACTTCACAATTTTATCCTCTTTTGAGTATACATCAAAATTTCACCCTTCAAAGACCAGGTAAGCAAGGCAGGCAGAACCACTCACTCCCCATGCCCCTTTTTTTGCTCTCCTAGAACCAGAAAAAAGAAGACACCCAAGACAGGAAAAAAAACTCACACCAACTTCAACTCACTCAAAGCCCCCTTCATCATCATACCCAAGTAGTCTCTTAGCATTTGCATATGTCAAAAGTACTCAAATAACTTATTAAAAACCCATCACCCAAAGACATGATCAATAACTATTTACAGGAACAACTGCATTTTACAAACTTATTAAGGCATCTCATTCCGTTTAATTCTTTGAGGATTACACCTTGTTATTATGTGAACCGAATGATAGGGCTCTGCTCAGTACACCAGATGTGTTCTTTTGAGTTTTCAAGCAGTATCCGATCTTAACATTAACCTTACTAATCAAAGCTGGCGAGATTGGATGATAAGAGGGATTCTAGTAGACTCCAGCATCCTGGGATGTAAATATGTCAATCTTCCTATCGAATATTTGGGGCTGCTGTAGGGGCTGAAGTATAAGGAGATTTCGATTTAAGATTCTATTGCCACGAGATTCAAACAGCAATTGGCTGGGTGGAAGAGAAACATACTATTAAATGAAGGTAGACTCACTCTTATCAAAAGCACCATAGCCAACATCCCTATATACTACATGTTTTTTATGACAAATGCCTATAAGGGTGCCCAAAAGATTGGAACCATTTAATGTAGATTCTTAATGGGGGATTTTGAGAAGAGTACCATTTTGTGCTTGAGATGAGGCCAAAAGCCAATTCATCATGGAGGG